TCTTTCCATTCCCTCTTCGGTGAAGTCCTCCGAGCTTAGGGCGGGCGGTATAGGCCCATCCGGTTTAGGCTGAGCACTCAGCAGGTCAGCTTATCCTCAACACCTTGATCACGCTAGGTCTCTTCAGTAGACTGTAGCCCACTACAAAAGGGAAGGTACTCTGACCCCCAGTTTGTGGGCAGAAGCAGAAGGCAGTTTGGTGGGTACGTAAAGTCCACTTAGCAAAACAACAACAGCCCCTTGCTTACTTCTCTCCCGCGACCTCTCCCGATTTTGAACGGGTTTTACAGTGTGGCTTCCCACTTGCGGAATGGGTACCAAATCCAATCCGGCAGAGGTGCACCCGTGGGCGCATCTCGCCCGGCAGAGCATGCTGGGCCCACAGCTGAGCGAGGCTGGTGATGTCTGCTCTGCCCAGCAGACCGCAGCCACACTGCCTGGTGCCAGGAGAGCCGCCCAGCAGAGGGGAGCTCCCCACTCCGTTCTAACTTGGTCTCTCTATGTCTTGCGACCAAAGCGTGTGCTCTTAAGCAACAGGGTCTTACCACACGAGTTCTGGTGGTCAACCAGAAGCAAGGGCTATGGCCTGCATGGTTTTGGGGGCCTTCAGGGCCTTCCATGGTGAAGGGCAGCCCACGCCTGGCATCGCAGCCCTACACTCCTGCTAGAACATCAATATAATCTATTTGAGTATCGCAGGTACCTCCTTCTTCTGAGGCTATGGCAAAACAAGTTAGACATGCTCTTTTATCCTATGTAGTTTCCGTATTTTTATCCCTACTGAATTTTAGACTAGCCTTTTTTTTTTTTTTTCTTCTTCAGAGCTTTCATTTCTGTTAAATATATCCATTGAATTTTAATTTCGGTATTGTACTTTTTGTTTCTAGCATTGCTGTTTTTGCATTGCCTCTGCTTTTTATGGCTTCTAGTTCTCTAACAAGACAGTCTTTAAGGTTTACTTTTTATGTTTTAATTATGTATCTGTGTGTATTGCATATGAGTGCAGGCACTCACGGAGGCCAGAAGAGGGCGTCAGACCACCACAGCTGGAGTTGCAGGCAGTTAAGAGCTGTCCAAGGAACAAAAATCTGACTTTTCTGCAAAAATAGTATGTGCTCTTAACCAAAGCTGAGGCAGGATTTTTTAACTACTGGTCTGTTTTTGTTGTTGTTGTTGTTTGTTTGTTTGTTTTGTTTTGTTTTGTTTTCAGACCTGGTCTCATGACTGGCCTGAAATTTGGAAGGTAGCTGAGGGTGACCTTGAACTCCTGACCCTCCTGCCTTTGATTTCTGAGTCCCTTCCTCACCCAGTTAGTAGTGCTGGGCTCAGAAGCAAGGCTTGGTAATTGTTAGGCAATCACTTAACCGACGAAACTACATTCCCAGCCCATGACATGGCATTACCAGTGCCTTTGGTAATGACACTCGGGAAATGGTAGTTTCCATTTCACTTTGAGGTGAAGTCTTGCTGTGTAACCCACACTGTGAGGTCAAACTCTCAATCCCCCTGCCTCAGTGTCTCACTGGTGCTTGGATTACAGGAGTTTGCCATCGTGTCCACTTAAGTCTACACAGCGGCCTTGTGAGCTTACTTCTCTTGGGTAAACGGTCCCGGAGGTCGGGATCACTGGGGAGGCAAATGACTTTATAAAAACCTTCCAAGCCCTCTCCCCGAGGGCTGGCTCTGTCATTTTCCTGCCAGTGTGAGACTTCCAGTCCCACGCCTCCCCGTCACTCCGGTGGGTCACCCGTTCTGGTGAGGATGCCGTGCTGCCTTGCTGTGCTCTCGTTTGTGTTTCCCTGGTGACTGATGATGCTGTCGTTCACCTCCTGCTGACTGGGCATTACTGCCTCCCCTTTGTCAAGCTCAGAACTCTTGGCCACTCAGGTGAGGGCAGGCTTTCCTCCCGGAATCACAGCACCTGGGGAGCAGGTGTGGCGTGATCACGTTAACTCGGGCTGTGTAGGTTGAGATACAGACTCAAAAACCCAAACAAACCGGTTAACAGGTGTGGCTGTGCATGCCTGTAGTCCCGGCATTGCAGAGGGAGAAGCAAAAGGGTTAGAAGGTTCAAAAATCATCCTTGGCTGCATGAGTTCAGGGCCAGCCTGGGATACATGAAAAAGAAAATCAGGTTGTTTGGTTTTGTTGTTGTTGTGGTTGTTTTGTTTTTTCTTTTCTTTTCTTCAGTGCTAGAGACAGACTCCTGGGCCTTAGACATGGCTATTGAGCACTTTACCATTGAGCTACACTCACGGGCTTGTTCGTCTGTTTTTCAAAGCTTCCCAGGGCTGCTGTGCAGGGCTTAGACTGTGGCAGCCACAGACCCACCAGACTGCCTGGGTTCTGGGAAGGCCTGCTGCCTGGAAAGGCCGGCCATTTTGTAACCCTCAGGCCAGCTGCCTGCAGCGCTGTTGCCAAGCCCAGCTCATCAGGTTTCTCGAATTGCATCTCCTTCCGTCACCCAGACGTAGAACCCCGACTACCCTCTGACCAGAGGCCAGCACGCGTCTGCTTTCTGTGGCCTGAGCGCGCCCTCACAGCCCTGAGAGCTGTGGACATTGCGAGCTGTCACTTTTGAGCAGGTTGTGGGGGTTCATGCCTTTCACGGAAGCACACAGGAGGTTAAAGTATGAGGACCCTGGGCTCAAGGCCAGCTGGGTTATAGAGGCCTAGGCCATCCTGAGCTACATGGCATGACTTTGTCTCAGAGAGAAGGAGAGAGGGGGAGAGAGAGAGAGAGAGAGAGAGAGAGAGAGAGAATGAAAGTGAAAGGCAGGTAGGCTATAGAGATGGCTCAGTGGCTAGGCCTCATTTGGTCCTCTGGCTCCCACTCCAGGATCTGACGGCCTCTGAGGGTACCAGGCATGCGTGTGTTGTACATACTTATATTTAGGCATTCACATATACACATAAAAATAAAATAAATCTGAAAAAGGGAAAGAAAGAAAGATAGATAGATAGATAGATAGATAGATAGATAGATAGATAGATAGACAGATAGACAGACAGATAGACAGATAGACAGACAGATAGACAGACAGATGGTTGTTCTTTTGGTCAGTAAACATCCTGCCCTTAGATATCTGGGAAGGTGGCCCACAGTTGGCAAAGTGCCAGAGGACTCAGGTTTCATCCCTAGGACCCAGCTAAGAGAAAAGCCTTGGCACTGTGGCTTCTGCTGTGTTTGTAGTCCCACAACCAGGGAGGCAGAGATGGGAGGCTTCCTGAGGGCCAAGGCCCAGCCTGGCTACTTGATGTTTTTCAGACAAGTAAAAGAAAAAAGTAGACAACCTGAGGGATGACAGCTTCGTTTGACCTCTGGCCACACATCCTGAGGTACACAGGCTCAGCCTGTCCTTAGCTCGTATCCCACCAAGGTCCAGCAACACCTCTCCCCTGGGACCCCCAGAACTTCCCATACACTAGCAGCGGAAGAGGACACCAGAGCCCCAACCCAAACCCATGACCACATTAGCTCTGACTTGGGTGGTGGTTTATCTTGGCTGTTCCGTTGCATGTGTTCCAGGGACGAGGACAGGCATGGCTGGGGTTGGAGGAGGGGTCAGAGGGCTCATGCAGGGAAGCTGAGGAACAGGAGGAAGACTCAGGAAGGGGAGGGTATAGATCACCGCTGGACATGCTAACATCACCCACGAGACTAATTAACGTGTCATGTAACCCACAATGTGCCGGGCACAGTTCTGATGATTCTCACAAAGTCCTCAGGAGAAACTGACCTGTGACCAGTGTGGTTCAGGTCCCCACACTGTTCGGCCCATAGGCAGGGGGACCTCTCTGCCCATACTCAGGCCTCTAACCATCCCTCACTCGCTCAGCTCAGGCTTGTATTAAGAGGCCCACTGTAGCCCAGACAGCCACCACCCCACCCCAGCTCTAGACGTCAGAATTAAGCTTCTGTATTCTCTAGAAATCAGATACAACCCGGCCTGGGTGGTAGCCGCCATGATTATCAGAGTCCCACCTCCCACAGACAGTGGCATGAGTGCTGTCCCATGACCACCAGCCAGCTTCCCCTTTCCCCTGCACCCAGGGTGTGACACACGGATGGGGGAGGGGAGTCTCCTGCATCTGGCTGGTGCCCAAGGGCTCCAACCTCAGGTTCCTCCTTCCCCAGTCCTAGCCTAGTCTCCCACCGGGGACTAAAATAGCCCCTGCCTCCTTCCCACTTAGGCCCCCCTCTGCCCTCGCTCCCAGCTGCCTCCCCACTCACCAGTTCAGCGGCCACCGCCTGGCCACCACCTGCCTCACCTCAAGCCCCAGTTCTGTCTCTGTGGTGTGCACATCTGCGTTACGAATCCTCACCCTCTTTGCTTTGCTGTGGTCATCTTCTCTCTCTCTCTCTCTCTAACAGTGAAGTGGCCATCTTTAGGTCCCGGGTCCTGTCTGTCTTTCTTCGTTGTGCAGCTGTGGGCAAGCATCTTAACCTCTTGGTAAAAATGGGAGGAAGGCATCTCCCTCAGGTGAATGGTGTGGGGACTGGGAGCCTTAACACACTTTCAAGTGTACCGTCGTGAGCGCTCCTGCCCATGGCTTTCTCTGATAGCCCGTGACCGTGGCAAGGATGTGAATGCCAAGTAAGAGCTGTAGCCGATGCTTTCAAGGCCAGTGTGTGTCAGGCCCTGCTTCAGGAGCATCAGTTGGCTGAGACGCCATGACCCTGCTATGTAAGGACGATTTTTCTCTCAATCTTGTGGGTGAAGACATCAAGGCCCAGAGAGGTTAAATGGCTTGTTCAAGGGTACCCAGCCAGGAAGAGGCTGAGCCAAACTTTGACCGCTGTTACCCACTGTCCCTCCTGTGAAAACATCTGCCCCTGGCAGCCCTTGTTCTTTTTCGATCTGTAAAGTCTGCGGCACAGCCCCCAGGCCACGTTCTCTGCGGCCCTGTCCCTGGGCTGCATTTTTTTCTGCTGTGGGTGTCTGTGTGTCCCTCCTCCCTGCTGCCGTCTCCTCCTCCTACCACCACCACCTCAGACTTCCTCCTTCACTTGCTTGGACGTCACCCCACATCCCACCAGCCCCTGGACTGAGGTGTCCGGCACCCGTCTGGTCACCATGGGGACCCTGGAGCCCTCCCGGCACCTGCTGTTGCTCCCTGTTCTCCTGACTGTGGGAGGTGAGTTGGGGGCTTCTGTGCCTGCCGCCTGCGTCTTCAGCTCTGCTAGAGGCCGGGCCTGGGCAGGAAGGGACAGGACAGATAAAGGGGAAGGCTGGAAGGAAGAAGTTCCTCTAGAGCCTGTGGCTCTCTCCCTGAGCTAGAGGCCCCAAGCTTTGGGACCCGGCAGGCTCGTTAGGAGGGACATCTAACCGGGACAACTGGCATTGCACAGGTATTCCACACTGGCTGGTTGCCTCGGCACCAGCTGTGAGATGCTGCCCTTTCCTGCCTTCTCCGGCTCCTCCACCCGTTGTCCATCAGTGCCTCCATTTACCTCTCTTTTGAACACAGAATCTCAGATAGCCCAGGCTAGCTCAAATTGGCTACATAGTTGAGGATAGCCTCAACCTTTCGATTCTCCTGCCTCCACATCTCTCAGTTTACCTAATTTTTCCTCCTTAGGATTAAGTCCCGTCCAGGCCCAGAGTGGTAAGCCATGACACCCCCAATCTTTTTCCTCTCCTCTCAAAGACCCCCTCACACCACCCACTTTCCTTTTAACCCTCCCTATGCTCCCTCTCCTCCTCCCCCTGTGACACTTTTCCCAGAATGCAACTGTTCTCCTGTGAGCCCTGGTGTACTGGCTGGGATTGTGCTGGGTGACTTGGTTCTGACACTGCTCATTGCCCTGGCTGTGTACTCCCTGGGCCGCCTGGTCCCTCGAGGCCGAGGGTCTGCAGAGGGTGAGTGGAGCTGTCGGGGGTTGTCAGGGGCTGGTGGGTGCTGGCCTGGTGGGAGGTGGGCATGGGGGGAGCCTCAAGTTCACAAATATCAAAGGTTTGCGCATGGAAGGGCTGGTTTGCTGGTGCTGTGGTTTGTTTGTGTTCCTTCCCTAATGCTGAGGAGCCAAGTGGGGCCTCATGTTTGAACTGCAAGCACTCTCTGCCAACCAAGTTTCACCTCCAGGCCAGAAGGGCTGGTATTTTCTCTCTCTTATTTATTTATGTGTTTGTTTTTATTATTTTAATCTGTGTGTGTGCATTTGAGTGCAGTGCCCGCAGAGGCCAGTAGATGGCACCAGATGCCCTGGAACTGGAATTACAAGTGCTCCAGTGTGGGCTCTGAGAATTGAACTCAGGTCCTCTGCAAGAGCAGCACCTGCTCTTAAGTGCTGAACCATCTCTCAAGTTGCTCAGAAGAGCTGGTTTTAAAACAACAAGGCAGTGCCAACCCACAGACTAGTCCATCTTCATACCCTGTGTCACTCTTTATCCCTCTGCAGGGACCCGGAAACAGCACATTGCTGAGACCGAGTCACCTTATCAGGTAAGGCTGGCGAGTTCTTCTCCGCCTTCGCTCCTGCTCCTAGCCCCACACCCCCATCGTTCTCTCGCTCACACACACAGACATACATACATATACACACAGAGATGCACAGACACACACACATGTACATACAGACACACACATGTACAAACAGACACACATACATATACACACACACATGTACATACAGACACACACGTACAAACAGACACACATACATATACACACAGAGACACAGACACATACATGCATGCGCAAATGCACACTCACACACAGAGACACACGTTCATACAGACACACACTCACACACATGCACACACAGACATACATATATGCACACACAGACACACACACATGCACATACACACACACACACAGCACCCTTCCTGGCACCTTAAGGTCCCTTCCCTATTCCCCCCCACCTTGAAGACGAAAGATTGTCTGCCAGCTTATTCCATGATCAGTTGTCCTGCTCAGCCGTGTGGGGGGGAAATAGAGGGGCTCCATCTCTGTCAGGCGTGTGTCCTCAGTGGGGCTGGGAGGAGCCCTGGATGAGGCAGAATTTAGCCTAAGCGTGGTGTGTGGAGGAGCCGTACTCCAGCAGGGTTCCGGTGTGCCGAAGCAGGATGCACATTCCTCTGAGCAGCTGACCAAAGCGAGGCTGCTCAGAAAAACTCCACATAAAAATACAGAGCGATCTCAGCACTTGGGAGGCAGAAGATGGGAAGTTTGAAGCCAGCCTGGGCTACTTAGCAAGTTCATAGCCTAAGCTACAGACTGAGTTCCTGTCTCAAAAAAAAAAAAAAAAAAAAAACTGGGTGAAGGTAGGGGAGTCCGACAGCGGTACAGCATTTACCTAGTATTCACAAAACAAAATAGTAATAATAATCAGCACACTCGTGCCAATTCCAGAAGCTAGGCAGGAGTACTGTGAGTTCATGGCCAGTCCGGCCTGTATATAATATATCAAAAAAAAATTAGTCCTGAGCATGGCAGCCCTGCAGGCTTTAATGCTAGCACTGGGGAGGCAGAGGCAGGTGGATCTCTGTGAGTTCTAGGCCAGCCTGGTTTTCCTAGAGAGTTCCAGACCAGCCAGGGCTACAGGATGAACCCCTGTCTTTGAAGAAAAGAAAAATTAAAAGTGGAATGGGGTGGGAATGCAGCCCAGCCTACACTTATCTAGCATGCACAAGGCTCTGGATTGACTCCAATAAATAAATAAATAAACAAACAAACAAATAAATAAATAGAATTAACCGAAATTGAAAAGAGTCAAAGCTGGAGACAGTGCAAACTGTCATTGAACTCACGCCTAAAAACCATAATGTCATCGGCATGCATCTGTCAAGACTCTATTTCTGTGTGTGTGTATATGTGTCTGTGTGTATGTGCCTCTGTGTGTGTGTGTGTGTGTGTGTGTATGCAGACCATAGGAGGATATCAAATCCTACCTTTACCTTATTGTTTGAATTGCATCTATGTTACTGTTTATTTATTGTGTGCCTTGGCAGCCATGTGGGGTCAGAAGACGGTGCGGGTTTCAGGACTCTAACTCCGGTTGTCAAGCTTGGCAGCTTTGCCCACTGAGCCATCCCACCAGCCTCTAGCTTCTTCCTAGCCTTTGGGATGGGCTGGCGGTGGTGGCACACGTCTTTAATCCCAGCACTCGGGAGGCTGAGACAGGTGGATCTCTGTGAGTTCGAGGCCAGCCTGGTCTACCGAGTGAGTTCCAGGACAGCCAGGGCTACACAGAGAAACCCTGTCTCAAAAAAACAAAAAAGAATCTCTCGTTTGGCAGTCTGATGCCCAGAAGACCCAGCAGGCTGTCCAGTCCCTGAGAAGCAGGGAATTTCAGGGCAAAATGTCAGCCTGATTTATTTGCCCTTCAGCGGCTTGGCTGAGACCTTCGTTGGTCGGCATAGCCTCTTCTTGGAGAGACTGATTTGAAGCAAATTAACAAAATCATTTTGGGGTGACATTGTGAAGAGACCAGAACAAGCCAATGTGATAACGGTGGGGTAGGAATAAAAGCTGAGTGCGGGGAAACTGAGCCTGGGCAGCTGAGGAGGTTGAACACCGAGGGGCTTGGCATTGCTCGTGCAAAGGCCCTGAGGCTGGGGCATAATGTCCAGGCAGAGAAGCCAGGGGCATGCTGAATGCATCTGACTAACATCCAGTTTTCTTTCATGATTTAAAGTTTGAAAAAGCTGCCAGGGACCCTGAAGGGCCTTAGGAGGCTGGGTTTGCTTTACTTGCTGGGCCCTCTCCAGTAACTGCCACCATCTTTTTTTTTTAGGAGCTTCAGGGTCAGAGGCCAGACGTCTACAGCGACCTGAACACACAGAGGCAGTATTACAGATAAGGCCACACCGCGGCCGTCCGCAACCTAACGCCTGGATCCGGGGGTTCCGGGTGGCCGCTCAGCATGCCCTCCCTGGGACGCCCGCTGGAATCCCGATCCTCGCAGCGCCCTCCCTGAGATGTCCCACCTTGCCCCGTTTCTGTCTCCAAATAAAAGCGGAGCAGAAGCCACGGCTGAGTGACACGCGCGACTGGGCTGAGGGGTTGGGTAACCGTGGGGCCCCTGAGGCCGGTCTTAGGTCAGGAAACAGCGACCTGGGAGGAAGTCAGACGTTGGGGAGAACAAGAGGTATTTGTATCGCTTTATTCCAGTTCCGAAGGAGCGTGTCCCCAGCCACCCCTACGCGATGCGATCCGGGGTGAGAGGTCAGAAGCCAAAGATGAGGTCACCGTCTGCCAGGCATGTTGATGTAGACTCTGCCATCTTCTGTGGGTGGGGTAGCGAGAGCCTGAAGCCTGACCACCCACTACCCTTCCTGCATCTCCACCCTCTTAGGAGACCCCCTGTCTCAGCAGGGGCTTCCTCAGGGGCTCCCCAGACACCTCCCCCAGGGTTTCCCAAGCGCCACCTCCAGGGCTTCCCCGGGGATGCCCTTGTGGGAGCCCCCCTCTTCCCTAGGGAGCGCTACCCACTCGCCAGGCCCCGCCCCCGTGTTGGCTGACCTTGGGCAGGCTTGCCGAGTGAGCGCATACACACAAACACCGCCCCCACGATTAGGAGCGACAGCACCGCGTCTGCAGCCACCAGGCCTGCCAGGAGCGGCAGGGACAGAGGCCCACATCCGGAGCAGGAACCTAAGGGTTAGAGCCCAGACCGGCAGGCGGCTGAGGCTGAGATTCGCCCACAGGGAGCCCGCCCCTGCCTCCCTGAAGGGGGCGCAGGGGTCGGCTGGGGAAGGGATCCCAGATTCTTTGGGATTAGGATGCGAAATGGGGGGTGGGGTGGGGAGGTTCTAAAGGAAGCCAGGCTGTCAGAACACCCAAAGGGCTGTGCCCTGGACACACGGGGAATCTGTTACAGATTGCACTGGGTGATGGAGAGTCAATGGGACCCGGAAAGGGCTGAGATTAGAATGTCCTGAGCCAGGGGGGTGCCCTCGACCAGACTTCAGGGCTGCAGGCAGCTGCTGAAGTTACAGGTCAAAGGCTTGGTTCAAACCTCACCTGCTGGCGTTTGACTTGCAGCCACTGTGGAAAGACCGAGAAAGTGGGGGTGAGAAGGGGGGAGCAGTCCCCAACACGTAGGGACAGGGGACACCCCACACGGGAGAGGTGACTGGGAAAGGAGCGACCAGAAAGGGGAAATAGAAGTGACTTGGCCACAAGGAGAGCTCACAGCTCCAGAACCCCACCCTCCCCAACCCCCAAGGACCCACGGGCACAGGGAGAAAGGCTTGCCCTCTGCACGGCTGACATTAGACGGCAGCCTTTCTGTCCCCTCAACCCTTTCCCACTGGCTTCACCTGGGAGCAGAAGCAGGAACAGGAGGTGGCCTGGAGGGGCCATGCTGGGCTGGGACCTGAAGGGATCCGGCCAAAGACTGTGGTCCAGGGAAGTCCTCGAAACAGTAGGGGAGAGGCAGCTAGAACGGATGCCACCCGACGGCGACAATACCACCTACTTCCTGTGTGTGGGTACATGTATGTCTTTAAGACTTTCTTTGGGGAACAAATTCCGGCGAGTCAGAGAGCCCAGAGAAGCCTCTGTGATTATCCATGTGGGAGTGGCAGCGGGCCATGGTGTGGCCATGATGGACATTCTGTAAATATGATGGAGGTAGAGCCAACAGTGCTTGGGGCTGTGGGTATTTGAGAAAGGGGGCCAGGGTGACTGTTGTTTCTGGCCTGGGTGACATTAGAAAGATGGAGAGTGGGTAGAGAGTTTGGAAGAGCTGATTTAGAGAGGAGAGGGCTGCCTCCATTAGGGCACACTGAGTTGAAAATACCGGATAGGGGCTGGAGAAGGGGCTCAACAGTTAAGAGTAACTGGCTGCTCTTCCAGAGGTCCCGAGTTCAATTCCCAGCAACCACATGGTGGCTCACAACCATCTGTAATGGGATCTGATCCCCTCTTCTAGGTGTGTGAAAACAGATCACGCATACATAAAAATAAATAAATAAAAAACAAAAACACCTGGTAGATCTCTCTGGAGATGTGGATGTCCCCAGTTGGAGTTCAGAGCCTTAGGGATGAGTGCGGTCCTGGCATGTAAATGAGAGGGCTGCTGGCTGAAGGAAGCATTTAAAGCCATAAGGCTGGGTGAGCTCACTAAAGTACAGACGCACCCACACGCACTGCCAGAGGAGAGGGAACCAGCTAGGGAAGCTGAAGGTGGAAGCAAGGGAGGGAGAGGCCCAACGCAAGGAAACAGTGTTGAAAGCAGGAGAGAAACTTAGTCATCACGGTTAAGTGCTAAGGAAGGTCACAAAGCGGGAACTGAGAAAGTCGGTCCCCTAGTAGGGCTGGGAATTCCTGTTTGGCTCACACCTCTCTATCCCGAGCACACAGCGAAAGACACAGCGAAGTGTCTTTAGAGGGATGGATAAGTGAGCAGGGCACCATGGCCCAGCCTGTACGGCGAACCCTAGGGAGACCAAGGGAGGAAGGTGGCTGTAAGTTCAAGGCTAGCCTGGCTGATTTAGCAAGTGCCAGGCCAGCCACACGTATCAAAAACAGGAGGAGGGTAGAGAAATGGTTCCACGGACAAAGGTACTTGATGTCAACTGTGTTAAAGACTGGAAATCCATACAAAAAGGCTGGGCTTCTCCAGCCGACTTCAGAGCTCCGGGGAAGCTCACCCACACCCGTTTCCCCTCTCATTTAGAGCAACTACTGACACTGGCCATAGTAGCACCCCTTTAACCCCAGCACTCGGGAGGCAGAGGCAGGGGGATCTCTGTGGGTGTCGAGGCCAGCCTGGTCTACAAAGTGAGTTCCACACGGCTAGAGCTACATAGAGACATTCAAGATTATCCTCAGTTACCTCGCGTTCTAGGTTAGCCTGGGCTTCACCAAGCCAACCCCCCCCACACACACACACCTCTTTCTCACACTCTCTCTCTCACACACACACACAAATCAAAACTGAAACCAAAGGGGAGAAAAATGTCATAAATGAAAGTTAATTCTGAAGAAGGAAAAGGCCACATGGGAAAGAGATCTAAGCCACCTGTATGACCCTTGCCTAAGGACTTCTCCAAGGGGCCGTGGGGTCCGGACTCTGGTCCTCTTCTCCCCCAGGACCCAACAGTACTGCAGCCTATGCGCAGCCAAGTCAAAACCTCCAGCATCCCCTCGGCCGGAGACACCGAATTCCAGGTCCCCAGTGTCCCCCCTCTAGGAAGAGGTAGGACCCCCAGCAACCCCCTTCCGGGAAGACCAGAGGATAAGACCCTTGAAAGTCAGGCTCTCACCTCCAGAGACTTAAGTTTGCTCAAGCGCTACACCGGGGACTCCCAGGACGGTGGGCGGGGTCCTGCCTCGAACTGGGCGTGGCCAAACCCCGAATTTAAAAACTCGCGGGGGACCCGGCTTTAGATCGGGGGACCCGGCGGCGGCTCCGCGGGGGAAGCAGCGAGGCTGGCGCAGCGCCGAGGCCGCGGCCCTGGGGGCCCGCAATCTGCATCCAAGAACCCGCGAGGTAAGGATGGAGTAGGGCGAGGTACGCGGCCTTCTGGGCGCATGAGGGTTGCCTAGGGCGGTAAGCCGGGCCCTGAGACTTGGGGTCCCCGGCGTTGAAGGGAGCTGGCTGAAGAGTGGCATGCATTCTGGCCTCCTGAGTCCTGGGGGTGCTGGGATTAAGGGAGAGATCCGGAGCCTTGGGGGTCGGGGTGCAAGGGTTGGGAGGTCTGACCCCGGGGGCTCCGTAAGAGGACCCCCCCAAGACTGCACTGCGTCCGCGGAGGTGCGCCCGGGACGCGGGTTCGGGTCCCGAGGGTCGGGTACTGGACCTCAGGGGTCCACGCTGGCCGAGAGCAGCCCCGCCCCGGGGACTTCCCAGAGCCCCTCGGGCGCAGTGTCCCCGGGCCGGGGCAGGAATTCCCCGCGCCCGGGGATTCCACGGGCGCCGCGCTCCGCCGCGCGCCCCGCCTCCGAGCGGGACACCTGCGGCGCGCGTCGCCAGCGGAACTGGGAGGTGGAAGATTCCCTTGCGTGAGCGCCGTGACGTCGGCGCGCGGCGTCCCCTCCCTCCCTCCCTCCCTCCCTCCCGCCGCTCTCCGGGACTCGGTCCCCGGCCGGCTTAACCCTTCCCGCGCTGGAGCCTAAGCGGGGAAGCCTGGATGAGAGGATGCGGCGTCTGTGGGATGCGGGGGGCGCGCGCGCGGGGGTGGGGGGGGGGGCGAGCATCCTCGGGATCGCGCGTCCGTGATCCGCATCCCTGGATCACGGAGAACTTCGTGGATCCCGGCGGAGAGGAGGGGGCAACGGTGGCAGCTCCCCTTTTCTTTCACTCCCCTGCGGAGGACGCTAGGGTACTGCGGTCCACCCCGCCCCGACCCTCCACTCCAAGCGTTGGGACCCGGCTGGGATTTTTTTTTTTACGGATGTGGCGACGCTTCGGAGGAGCGCGCGCCTCCCCACTTCCCCAGTTTCCACTACGCCGGTGGAAAGTGCGGGCGGAGGAAAAGCGTGGAGCCGAAGGGAGGAAACGGCGGAGGCGGGCCCTGCGCCCAACCTCTTTCTGTGGGCTTTGGGGCGCTCCAGTTTTTCCGCGCGGGAGGGAGAGGAGGGCGCCCACGTCCGCTCCTCCCCGCGCCCCCGCGCCGCCGCTGAGGGCGCGTTTGGGTGACTTAAACAGCCCTGACGACTTCCTTCTGCCTCCCCACACACAGTGTGTCGCGCTGAGCGCAGCCACTGCCCGACGCAGACCGTCAAGAAGCTTCTGGAAGAACAGAGGCGCCGGCAGCAGCAGCCAGAAGCGGGCGGGGTGCCGGTGAGTGTCTGCCGATCCTGTGCAGGACCACGCGCGGGAAGCCGCGTGCGCTGGGGCAGACGGGAGTTGTAGTCCCGACTGGATGCCCTGCGGGTGGGGAATGGACCTGAAACAGCCTTCCAGATGCATACATTCACTCGCGGTCCCATTTTCTTTACTTTGAAGGGACACTTCTCCCCTCCTCTGGTCCAGCCCCCGACGCCATCCGTGAACGAGGCAGAGGCAGGTAAGAAGAGAAAGTTGGTTCCCAGCCCCAACTTCTCTTGGATACTTAGAACTCTGGGGACCAGGCAGTGATGGACAGCCTGCCATAGTTGCACAGGCCTGTATTCCCAAACTCCAGAGGTGGAGGGGGGCGGTTGCCATTGGGTTTGGGGCCATGCTTGTTTACCCTCTAGTTGTAGGCCACCTAGAGCTAGCTAAGACTCCTTGTCTTCAAAAAAGAAAATAAAGCAGAAAACCCTGGGATTTGACATTGGTTTTTCATCCGTGAATATAGTCCTTCAAGGACCCTGAGCTTTGACACTCCAGGAATCCAGATCCCAGCTGTTTGGGACCCAGGAGGTCAGGCTTCCCACTTGTTGGTGTCCCAGGACTGGGGGACCCAGCGCCTCTGTGCCTCAGAAGTCCGAGTTGGCAGTACCTCAGCAGACGCCAGGTTCCCTGTCCCTGGAGAGGACTCCAGGCTCTAGTAACAGGCTGGTCCTGTCCCCTCCTGCTTGCAGGCCATACCCACTTCCCCGCCTTCCAAGAGACTGTGGATTCTGGACCTGGCAACCTGGCTCCCCCTTCAGGCTTTGCCGACTGGGACCCTAGCACCCATGCTACCTATATAGACAGCTCTTGCCCGTACTCTGCTGCCGAAGGCTTCCTGGTTCCTGATTTCTACACAACATCAGACCCAGGGCGGTCAGGCCCATTTCCCCTGGGGATGGAGGTAAACTCTAGAGACAGATACTTAAGGGGTGCTTTAAAAATTCCCATTTATGCTAAACCTGGTGGTGTAGACCTGTCATCCCAGCTACTCAGGAGGCAAGGCAGAAGACCTCATCTTTGGGGAAAAAAAAAAGAAAAAGAGTGTTTGGAATATTGGTCCGTGGTCAAGCTCTTCCCTAGCCTGTGTGAGGCCATGGGGTTCAGTCTCCATTGGGTAGGAATGGGAAGTGGGGAATCTGTGCAGTATCCTGGGATGTCAGGCACTGGTTTAAGATGCCACCCCTGGCCAGGAGTACTGGCTGAAGCCTGCAGTCTCAGCAGCCGGGAGGCAGAAGCAAGAGGATCGACGTTTTAAGCTAGCTTGGTGTGAGTTGGCACCAGCCTAGGTAGCATAGCAAAGGAGAAACTAAAACAAGCTGAGCTCAACCCCAGCAGTCAGGCTTCTGGGGCAGGAGAATTGCTTCAAGTTCAAGGCTAGCCTGGGCATCTCAGTGAGATCCTCTCTCAAAAGACAAAAAGCAAGCATCCCTCTCCCCCCCCCCAAAAAAAAATCCCTTCTCCCTTTTGGTGAAGCTGAAGTGTCTGGTGTGTGATGAGAATTCTCAGCTGCCTCGCTCTCTCCCTCTCCCCCCATACCTTTTAGGACTCTCTGGATACCCAGCTCTATACAGAACCTTCCCTGTCGCAGGTAGGATCCTGGATAGCCGCTGGCCTCCCCTCAGGATCCCCACAGTTGCCTCCGTCTACCGGACCCTCCCTGGAGACAGCGCGAGCTCACATATTGGCTCTGGGGCCCCAACAGCTATTGGCCCAGGATGAGGAAGGAGACACGTGAGTACAGGGGCACAGGGTGACCTCCAGACTCCTGGCTCCCCCGGGGGTGGGGGCTGCTCTCACTGCTGTCCCCCCACCCCCCGTCCTCAGGCTCTTGCACCTGTTTGCTGCTCGGGGGCTGCGCTGGGCAGCTTACGCTGCAGCGGAGGTGTTCCAGATGTACCGACAGCTGGATATTCGTGAACATAAGGGCAAGGTAAGGGCCAGGAGCCCGGGCCTCGCCCTTGGGGAGGAGGGCACCTGACGTTCAGAGGGGAGGGCCCCGGGGGTCCAGGCTGATTCCGTCGTGATTCACAGACGCCCCTCCTGGTGGCAGCCGCTGCCAACCAGCCGCTGATCGTGGGAGACCTGCTGAGTCTGGGAGCGGAGCCTAACGCCACCGACCATCAGGGCCGTTCTGTCTTGCATGTGGCTGCCACCTACGGGCTCCCAGGAGTCCTTTCGGTATGGCCAGCTGGAAAATCCAGGGCGTGGGGGTGGACCAGTTATCCAGATCCTGGTTTTGAGGACCTCGTTTAGAGAGACCCTCCCACAGCTCTCCTCCTTCCTCTTCTCCCAGGCTGTGTTTAAATCAGGCCTTCAAGTAGACCTGGAAGCCAGAGACTTTGAAGGTGAGCCAGTCGTAGCCAGGGCTGGTGCGGCAGGCAGGCTGGCTGGCTGGGCAGGGTCCCTCACCGTGTCCCTTCCACAGGCCTTACCCCCCTCCACACGGCCATCCTGGCTCTCAACGCTGCTATGTTCCCACCCACTGTCTGTCCAAGGATGCTGAGTTCCCAAGCCCGAGACAGACTGGCTTGTGTGCAGATGTTGCTGCAAATGGGTGCCAGTCATACCAGCCAGGTAAGCGTGGCTGGCGTGGGGATGGGCAGGCCCTAGGAAAGTGTATGCAGAGCGCCACTGGGTGACGGGGCCACTAGATGCTGACCTTGCTTCTCCTTGTGTGTCATGCTGAGTGTGCTCCTCCACCTCTCTGAGCCCCAGTGGCCCATGTAAATGTTACTGATCTTAGAAAGCGCTGAGGAGCTTAGGGGGCTGCTTTTGCCTCCCGCCTTCGGGTGTGTGCTCTTACTTTCTACATCTTATTGATGAGGAAACAGAGGCCCAAGGGGACTGAACATTTGTGTTGGGGAGGGAATTAGAACCCAGGGAGGGAATCTGACCCTAGAACTTGGCTCTTAATTCTACATTTAGTCCCCCTCTGCTGTGCTAGGGGCACCTCCATGGGCAGGCCGAGGGGACTCACTGTCACTTAGTTTTAAACATTAGTGTTTTAGTTCAGGGGTTCTGAACCTCAGATGGAGGCCGTCCTGTGGTTACTGTCCAGCCCACCATCTCCTTGCCCTAGGCTTAAGAAACTATTCTTCCAAACACGAATCTGAACGTGGATTAAGTACAAATTCTGTGATGTGAGCCCTGTGTGCCAACATTACGTCCATAATCAGTGCTCACAGCGACTCCCACTGTCCCCTCCTCTCACGCACTTTCCCTTTAGTTTTAAGTTTTTGTTGGTGCTGAGGATTTAACCAAAGGTCTAGTGTGGGCTAGGCAAGCTCTGAAACCTGTTATTTGCTGCTGCTGCTGCTTCCTCCTCTTCTTCTTCCTCTTCCTTCTCTTCATTATTATTAGGTATGGTCTCTTTATGTAGCTCAGGCTGACCTCAAATTCACCATTCTCCTACCTCAGCCTCACAGGTGCTGGGCTGATAGACCTGCCCCACTAGGGCCAGTCCCTGTCCTATGCTGTTTTTAAGCAAATACAAGCATATGATTATTTGCATAACTATTTGTCCTTCTTCCTTTCTTCCCGACTTTCTTTTCGTTTTCTTTTGGTGCTGAGAGTAGAACCTAGGGTTTCCTCATGATTGTTGCAGTGGTAGAGCCCCTGCCTAGAATCCCTCAGTGAGGGCCTGGGCTGTGGCTCAGTGGTAGAGCCCATGCGTAGGATCCCCCAGTGAGGGGCTGGGGTGTGGCTCAGTGGTAGAGCCC